AAGATATAGCGATAGAAGTTGTTCAATCTCAAAGAAGTCCCCACATTTAAGAGTTTTTCTCGTGTTATGTGTGAATTAAAACTCACTACTTAAGCGTGCTGCAGCTGTGCTCAATTTCCTTTAGAAGTGCTGAACGCATTCAGTCGTTAAGGCTGTTTGCGATAAGCTAGCTATTATTGGTCGCTGATTTGATGTTTGTTCTCGTTTTTCGAATGAACATCTAGCTCTACAAACCCACAGAATGCCATGGAGTAGCAAGAACAGCAGGTTTTCATCTAATTAATTCTAATCCTTTGAACTATGATGACATGAGCAAAAATGCTAACCTCAGCTGTTGTGGAAAGGAAGTGTCCGTTCTTCGACCATGTGTAATGACTTGGTGCTGGATTTGCATCCACTGCACATGGTATTGTTCCATTTTGGCCATATCCAATTGTGAGCACTTGCCGATGCGATGGTAACGCTTCAGGGGCATCTGAAGTAAGAGAAGCTAATTTATTATTCCAATCTATTTGATGATAGATCCGCAATTACACCTTGCCACAGTATATTTTAAAAATGCCATTAACAATTAAAACATCGTTTTAGCAGAAAGTTGATAATAAGATATAATGGAACTCGTGACTAGTGGCCGCGACGATCAGTTGACCCGGTTATTCTTAACGAATACTATTACTGTTTGTTGTTACGGATTTGTTATGGCCGAAGCCGTTTGGAATATGACTTATGACCTCGTTTTTCGCTGTTTATGTCTACGTGGTACAACTAAGATCTGATGAAAGTTGAAAATTCCTCGAACCAAGTTCTGTAGAATAGAAAATGACGTAAATCTCTTATCACAAGGTGTTGTAGGCGTAGATAAGGAAAACTTTCTGAGAAAATACTGTTGGTAAGATAAAGACACTTTTAGTGGTACTTTTAACTAGAAAGCTATTATTCAAGTATATTCAAGATCCATGCATGCGCTATAATGTACAGTCACATCATATAACTTTTATCAGTCATTGATTGTATCGTAAGAAACTACTACCATTGTGCTTGGATTTATAAATACATTCATTACAAATTCACCAATAACCCAGTTTACCCAAATAGCTAGATGTAATAGGTTGTCTGAAGAGCTTATATTATTTTCGTCAACTACAGTGAAGTAGTGAAGAAGGAAACTAAGGTTAAATATAGAGTGGAAATCAAACTGCAGAGTTTTCAGATGGAAAATGCAAAATTTCAAATAATAGGTGTATATACAACTTCACAGTAGAAGTATTACCAGTAAATTGGCTAATTACAACTTCAAAATATCAAATTAAAACATTCGCATCGATATGTGGCGATAAGGATAAAACTCTATCCAAAATTCTAATTTTTCTAATAACAGGGGTCTATTTAACGAGAATCTATTCTTCAAGTTGTCTTAATAAATATTCAATTGGGAACTTACATAAAACATCCAGAAAGGCCGAAGCTTTTGATTGCTCCCCAGAAGGGCCACGTGCAACGCACTCGTACCAACCGCGATCATCCTTACGCGCATCTCTTAGCGAAAAATCTCCCTCCTTAAAGAAAGTCTCGCTTATATTCTATGGTATCTGCTACAAACATATGTGTTACTAACCTTTATCTCAGCTCTTAAGCCAGTCTCTGTAGTTTTTACTGG